ATTTACCGATTTCATTAAGACGTTTTCTAAAATGTTCACTTTGCTTTGTCTCAAAATGCGTGCTGGTCTCTGTTCCCTAGTTTCCATTCTTTGATCAATTTCATCATCGGTCATTGCAAAGTCAGCAAAATTAAAATCATCGTCGGAATTTCCATTTCCTGTTGTATTTGAATGCCATGATGATATTGTCTGAAAACATAAGATTTATAATTTTTTATTCGAAAACGGTGGAATGCATTGGAAAATCGGAAAAGAAGCAAACTGCATATATCACATGCACATATCACATATCTAAAAAATGCCTAAATTTAAAATTACCTCGTCTAATTCTTCCTCTTCGGAAATATGGTTTTCAATTACTTCTATCTCCTTCTGTAAGTTTCTACCTTCTATCGAAACGTTGTTCTGTACAGTCTCTTCTATAGGATATTGACTTTGTATGTGATGTTGTCGTGAACGTTTCAGCAATTTTGAATTATATTGTATATAATTTAAATTTGCTGCCCTTTGAGTTGTTAGGCGATTTCTTCTCTTCGTATGAATGCTGCTCTGGGAGCTAAAGCTTCTCTCTGTTGCCGCAGAAGTGCACGGCATTGTCAATATCCTGACTGCAACTTTGGAGAGGCATGAATGTCCACAAAATCCTTTCCACCATGTAACCAAAGAGACATTATCGAGTATGTTCCATAAAAATGTTTCGCCAAAAAAGTCTGTTTTAGCTAAATAGTTTCCTAAATCCTCAGTAATCTTTGACACTCCTTCATCACCAATCTCTATCGTGGTCGTGGTTGACATAGTAGTAATGTATTTCATCGCTTCAATCCTTTCGGCTGATGATAAATTTGCACCAACAGACCGAGGGTTTAGTAAGTCTGCGGCAAAATGGATCGGTTGAAGGGCGTATTCCTTCCTTGATATAAATTTATCCATCGCTTCTGTTTTTTCGCAATCCGTTAGTTTCACGCATTCTAAATGAGTAGATATGTTACTACCGATTTTCGCGAAAGTTTCACAAACCAAATGAATTGACGAAGAATCTCCTTCAAGACGTGTTATTGCTTCAGTAATTGGCTTAAGCAATTCAACAAGAGCGCTAGAATTTATCCAGAATCCTTCATCAAGTAAATTTGCTTTTGCGCTGCGTATTCTATCTTGAATTGTTTTATCTGGAGATATTGCTAGACGTTGTAGGACGGACTTGCATTTAGTCAGATCTTGAAGACATTTTACATGTGAACCCCATCTTGTTTTTACAGGTAGGCTAAGAGACACTCCACACTTCATCTCATTTCTTATTTCTGTGAATTGAGCTCTCAGTACTTGACACTGGTTAATAGTTTTAACGATATGTATAATATGTGACAAATGTGTCTCTATTGAAGATAATTTCAAAATATCGCTGCACAATAAATGTAATGTGTGCGCTAAACAGCCGTATGATACAAGATGGGGATACATCTCTTCACATTGTCTCACAGCCTTCCTCATATTCTTTGCGTTATCAGTCACAATAGCGAAAAATTTTTTAGGTCCATACTCCTCCAGAACTTCAACCATTAATTTTGTTATATATTCTGCGGTATGCTTCTCTGCTTTTGTTAGTACTGATTTGACAAATAACGGTTCGGGTGTTGTAACAATGAAATTAATTACACTTTCATTTCGCAAGTTGGACCAACCATCGCATTGCAATGATAAATTGTCAGCTTGCTTAATTTTATCATTAACTTGAACTTCAACTCGCTCGTACTCTTCGGTCAGGAGACGATTTGATAACATATATCTCGATGGTAAGGTGTATGAAGGTCTAATTTTTTTAAAAAACAATTTCCAATCTTCATTCTCGGTAATTGAATGTGGTGCTGAACTGGTGTAAATAGCTCTAGCAAGCAAAATATTCAATTCGTTATTTTGTTCGTGTGTCATTCGATCACAAAATGATTGTATTCTGTTGATTTTTGTGCAAACAGGTGTTTCCACATGAATGTTATCAGAAGCAGATGTTGATGCTGTGGAAACCGTTGATGATGTACAAGCAGCATCAGTGTTATCGTTATCCAATTTTGCCGATGTGATCTTTTTCATGGATGTTTCAAATGGAAATTTAGAGTGATTCCCCTTTGACTTTGGAGTTAAAATATTGAATTTAAGTTTTATCATATGCGGCACATAAGTGCATTGTTGAAGATGAGATTTCATTCTTGTAGCATTTTTTGCATGTACACTCTTGCAAAATTTACACCTCACATTTATGGTCTTTTGATTAGAAGAACCCGCAGGTAACACTTCAAAATAAAGCCAGATATCTGTCTTACGTTTCACCATGTTTTATGACCTAAAAAAAATATTCAGGTAGACTTAAACATTAAGAAGGGAAAAAACATTATTTTTCAAAGTATTTGATGGGCACGAGGGCATAAAAAATTGTTAGGCATCCTTAAATAGAAGAAAGATTAAAATTGAATCTGTGTAACAATTTAATGAAATTCGAATAAGCAGAATACTGGATCGGACAACTACATTATTTTGCCCTCAACGTTATCAAAATTTTTTATTTAGTAAGTTATGTCAGTGTAATTCAATTACACATGCTACATGCACAAGTACCCCGTTGCTCCTATCATTCTTATAGTTATTGTACAGTAAACTAATCTAAAAAATCGAATAAAACTTGGTAAACCGAATTCAGAATTAAGTACTGTAGCCACATATAAAATGACGCGCGTTAGATTTAACGTACAGTCGATATGCGATAGGCCCGCCCCTGTGTTTCCCAATCTAAGGTTGCTATGGACATCACCGGCACGTGTTTTGCTGTTTGTAGAAATAATATATTTCTTACCTTATAGTTTCTGTGCTTCCTTATAAATAAATGTAAAGTAACCAACGCTGCGTGAATGAATAGAGAAAGAACAGTCGAAAACTAACTTATACATACACATTACACATACAATAACAGAAATGTAAACATAACCTGCCTGACTCAGACTAAGGAACGACTAACGAGCGACGAGCGTAATAGCACCCACTGGTTCGCGCGCGCCGGCACCGGCGCACCGCACTTACGACAATTGCGCGCGCATAAGTTGCCATAATATATGTAATTTTACCAGTAATTACATAAATTACGGTAATTTATGTAAATTTATCATAAGTTACGTTAAATTTCATAAATTACGTAAATTCCAAAAATTACATAAATTACATTAAGTTACGGGTATCATGTAATATTACCGTAAGTTACGTGTAATTTATGTAACGTAAGTTATGTAATTTTACAACTCACATCACTAAGGTCACCTATTTCCCAATATCGTTTAAAGATATTGTTTCTATTTTCCTCACTAATTTTATTTCCACATTGAAATTTACAGTTTTGTTCGCAAGATCCCATTATTTTGCGCTCTTCTCTTTTCTTGTGTCTCGAGTTAATGTGCTCAACACCACTGTTAAACTTTTCCTTTCGTACATTTCTGAACCATTTTTCAGGATCACATTGTCTCGTCCTTTTATTTTTGAAGTCTTCAGAAATGTTGATCTGGTCTTCATTGATATTTTTTTCAAATCTTGAAGTAACATCTGAAGTACTTTGACTTTCTACTTCAAAGTTCCAAGTAGGGTCATGTACTTCTTCATGATTTTCTGATTGCCCCCCGAAGAATTGTCGTTTTTTTGAGAGTTGCAATGGGTATAAATTATTTCCTCATTGATTTCCGGTTCAGCTTCAGTAACACTGATACTTTCTCTAACATTAATTTCCTTTAGTTCCTGGCAATCATTATTTATTTCAAGAGTGCCACGAGATTCCAAATTACAAGCGGATTGTAATATCTGTAACAAAAATATCGTCGTGATATTAGTTTTTTAAATAAAATATCTATTACTTACAATATTTTCTTGAAGCAATTCTACTTCATCTTCGAATAAACAGTGCTGAATCAGAGCTGTGGTAAGCGAACTTTTATCATCATTGTCCAGACCTCTACCTGATAGTTCAGTCTAAAATACATAACAGTAAATTACTATTATTTTTAACCAATATTTTAGGTTAGGATTTTTACCTGTTGAATTTGTTGATCAGATATTCCTTCTTGTCCCTCGTGTTTCAATATCTGTAACAAAAATTATCGACGGTATATTAGATTTCTTTTTAACTAAAATAGTTATTACTTACAATATTTTCTTGAAGCAATTCTACTTCATCTTCGAATAAACAGTCCCGCATTAGAGCTGTGGTAAGCAAACTTTTATCATCATTGTCGAGACTTCTATCTGATAATTCCGTCTAAAATACGTAGGTAATAGTAAATTAGTATTAATTTTGAACTAATTTTAGGTTATAATTTTTATCTGTTGAATTTGTTGTTTAAATATTTCTCTTTGTCCACTTTTAAAACAAACAGCTTTTGTAGCAGCAAGTTTTAAGGATATATTTTGAACGATCAGTCATTTTCAACGATAAATTCACAAAAAACACGTTTGTAACTAACTGAAAACACACCACAACCGTGGGTCTCAGAACAATGCGACAGTGTTGCTGTCAAGACCTACCACTATTAGTAAATAATAGTAGTATAGCGTACTTAATGTGAAAAAAATTATATCTAAATATTACTGCAACACTGTCTTAAGTGAGTTGTTACAATGTTGCTGAATAGAGTTCTACAAAAATAGTTATTGTGATAAAAGGATACTTCTATCTATAACCATGTCATAATATGAAGAATTTAAAATCAAAATATTACATAGGACTAATCACTAGCGTTTTAGATTTCAAGAACTGACTGTGAAAATGAGTACCTTTTGTTAAATTATGCGTATTAATGGACAATTATTGAAGCCGATCGCGCACCTTTTTAACTTCCTGTCATACCGCAGGTTTAAAAAATAACAGATCACTCCACTCTGGTATAGACATGTGTAAACTTCTGTCATGATGCATATTAATATTTTTATTTAATAATTTAATAATTTAGTAAGTATTAATTTTTCTATTACAGCAAGTTCATTTGGAAGATGCAGCTTAAAAAGTCCAGATTTAGATGAGTGTTTTAAAAATAATACAGAAAGAGCCGTTCGTCTATTAAAAACAGGTAAATACAATTTATTTTTAATATTTTATATTGTTTATTATTACCATTTATAACATTAGACACATAAAAGCCAAGTAATATAATAGTCATTTGTAGTACAATGGTCTCCTTAGTACGGCGGCCATATTCGTTGCAGACTTGAGAGACGGCAACTGGCTCTCTCAAACAAATATTTGATACAAATATGTGATAACTACAAATAATATGAAATATTTCGAGAATATATACAATAAATTTGAATTCAAAAAATATTTTGTTGATTCATACATGTTGAATACATAAAATATTTGAATTCAAAAAAACTTGACTTGATCAAGATACGGCAAAGGTAGTTCATAGGGCTTCCTCGGTTTCCAACAAGTGAAATTCTTATGAAAATTCATTCATTAAAGGTAAATAAATATAATGGAATTAAAATATGCACGTCGAATGGTAAAACATTATATGAAGCAAGAAAGCTTAGAAACATCTTACTTAAAATGGGCAGACTCGATATCTCTGTAGACTCCGATTAGGAGTCTGCGAAACAAGGTGGCTAAATAACGGACAGTACAATTCTCAATACTATCAGATAATATTACTCTTACCGAAAAACGACGAGTCACATCGTCGCTCGCTTGCAAAGTCTCTAAGAAAATTTGTTCATTATCAGATCAAGTAATACTAATTAAATGAGTTATATTTCCTGTGGATTTAAATATAATACAAATATATGCACCAACTACAGACAAAGAAAATACTGTTATTAAAATATTTAACCCACTTGTATCCGAAGCCTTAGCTATGACAAAAGAAGACGACTTTACTCCTATCATGGGGACTTCGATACAAAAATAGAATCAGAAATTACTTTCAATATTACTGGAATGTTCGGTTTAGGACAACGGAATGAAAGAGGAGAACGGTTGCTGCAGTTCTGCCAACAGGAAAAATTTGTAATTATGAATAAATAGTTTTCTCTACCAAAATGTAGACTAAATACTTCGAAGTCTCCATGTGATTGAGAAGACAATATTGTAAGAAATCAAATTGATTATATAATAGTCAATGAACGATTTAAAAACTGCAAAAACTGCGCGACCAAGATTTATCCAGATGCCGATATTCGATAAGACGATATATTACTGTGCCATACAATCACAGTCAGGCTAAATAGAATTTGTAAAAATTAGAAAACCTCCAAAATATCACTAGATGCACTTCTTTATGTAGAAATACATAATGAAATCCGAAAAATAATAAAAGTAGCACAAGACCAATGGCTACAAGAATCCTGTTTAGAAATTGAGATATTGGAGCAACCACTCGACAGCTTCCATTTGCATAAAAAACTAAAAGAATTAACAGGCAAAAGCAGAACTACAAGTAAAATATATTACAACACTCTGGGGGTAGAATTTTAGATACTGGCAAACAGATTCTAATCTTAAGTTTAAAAGACCGTCTACCAAGCGAAACAAAGAAAATCTTTTGGTCCTGACAAAATATCTGCAGAATTGTTACAACAGGAAATACAGCAGCAATAAATTACCAGACAACTGGTTAGAATCAATATTTACAACTACATATTCCCAAAAATAAGAAAGCCACTAAGTGTAGCGACTATCGACTTATCCACTGCACTCATGCAATCTTCAAAATATATCTGAATGAGGGGCTCTTCGTGTGGAGAAGAAAGTGCTGCAATATGATTATCCCAATAGAAATTGAGAAGTTGTACATGATACACTTCGCTGTAAATAAATCGGTAAATAAATTGAATACTCAGTTGGGGGAGAAAAACCAGATAGTCTAATCGAATTATGCTATGCTACGCTTTCGACTCTTCATCGGGATTTCGGTGGTTTTAATCTCCTGATCATTTCACTTCTACTTAGTTCACTATGTATTGCACGACTGCCGTTAGATATTGCATAACTTTTAAATTTACATTTTACAGTTATTTTAACATCATATATAGGAGCACATAGATAAAAAAAATAAAATAGGAATTTGCTTAAAAAATGAAAATAAGAAACCATTAGTTATAACTATTTTAAATGTACCTTAAGTTTCAGTTAATAATTTTTCCAATGTACCATATGTTTTCAGGCCTGCCTAGAAAATTTCTCAATTTTGTCATCATTCCTCAAGTAGAAGATAATAATTTACTTTTCATTTTTTTAGCCACTCCTGAGCTTGGTCTGGGTAGTCTAGATCCACTAGATATACCTGAATTAACAATAGGGGAAGGAACTGGACCTGTACACGTAACACAAAAGTTTAAAAATATCAAATTATACGGTTTAACAGAATCCAAAAGTCTTATGGGCCAGTAAGTATAATTTGGAGCACCGCTTCTTTCATATGTAGTTTTCAATTAAAAAAATTAACATATTTTAATGAGCGTTTGTTGGGTGATTGAACTCAATGTTGAACATCAATTATCTTAATCTAACTATGCGGTGCCAGATGTAGAATTCACCTAATATATATATATATATATATATATATATATATATATATATATATATATATATATATATATATATATATATATATATATATATATATAAGAAAAAAGAAGTACTTGTGACTCGTTTGGAAAAAATATAAAACTGTTTTGGATGGGTTGAAGTCAATAAAAGGGGCTATTTGTTGACTATTTTTTACTTGAGCTTTCAATTGTGATTATTATTATCAAGAGCTTCTAAAAAATACAAAATATCTTACAGTTGAACTAGAAATAAAAAATTTTTTGTTAACTTACCAAATAAAATTAGTTTTTTTATATAAAACTGCTGCTTTTATATTAATTACAAAAAATATTATTAAAAAAATATGTCCTATTCTAATAAATGTTTCTCTGAAATAAATTTTGATAAAGTTTCTTAACAAAAACAATTGAATTTGTAAACAAAAATTGAATAACTACAAACCAGCCTAAATGTCATAAATACTAACTTAAAAATTTTTATTTTTGACATATTGTCAAAAATAAAATTTTGTTTAAAAAATTCTTCTTTGTTTAGTAACAAAAAAGAAGAAGATTTATTCACTATTGATAGATGCCTGAAAAAATGTAACAAATACATGGAAAATTCAAAATGTGATATTTTACTGACTGCATATATAAATTACATAGAAATAATATATTTTATTATTTCTATGTAATTTAAATTACATAGAATACCTTTTGTTTAAATTATTATCACATTTGCTAATACAAACCATTTCAAAAAAAGTTCTGTTAAATTTATTACTTTCACTACATAAAATTTTAATATTATCAAAATCCATAATATGGTCTTTCTCTATTACATGCTCTGCCAAAGCACAAGATGGTTTCTTAATTCTGCAATCACTCTTGTGAGAAATAATGCGATTTGAGAGATTTCTTCCAGTCTTACCAATATACTCAGCTTCACACTGAGTACAACCAATGCTGTATACTACATTTGTTTGATCTAATTTGTCTATAGGATATTTAGTTTTGGAATATAAAGATGAAATGGTTTTGATGTTCTTTGTTGCTATTTTTATATTGTCAATGACCTTTAGTGTTTGTATTAATTTAGGAGTTAATGATGGTATAAAAGGTAGCGAATGATAATATATGTTACAATCAGAACATCCAAATCATCCAAATCATCATCCAAATAAGATGAAAAGGAACCTTATAACAGGATTAAAGGAACATGTTTTAAAGCTTTCTCATCCAGATTATCTACAAGAAGATCTTCAATTATTAAAAAATATTTTAATTGAAAACTCTCATCCTCCAGATATGCTACATAGGATAATTTTTTCTAATATTGTTAACATAAATAACTTAACACCATTTTTTGCTAAATCTCAGAACATTGTATCCAACAATCAGAACATCGATTATCATTCACTATCTTCTATACCACTATTAACACCTAGATTAATACAAACACTAAAGATTATTGACAATATAAAAATAGCAACAAAGAACATCAAAACCATTTCATCTTCATGTATCAAAACTAAGTATCCTATAGAGAAATTAGATAAAACAAATGTAGTATACAGCATTAGTTGTACTCAGTGTGAAGCTGAGTATGTTGGTGAGACCGGAGGAAATCTTTCAAATCGCATTATTTCTCACAAAATGATTGCAGAATTAAAAAACCATCTTGTGCTTTGGCAGAGCATGTAATCGACAAAGACCATATTATGGATTTTGATAACATTAAAATTTTGTGTAGTGAAAGTAATAAATTCAAAAGGACTTTTTTGGAAATGGTTTGTATTAGCAAAAGTGATAATAATTTAAACAAAATATCAGAAATTCAAAATATAAGCAACATTTATAATTATATTATTTCTTTGTAGTTTATATATATGAAACCAGTAAAATATCACATTTTGATTTAATTTTCCATATATTTGTTATATTTGATCAGGCATTTATCAACGGTGAATAAATCTTTTTTCTTTTTTTATTACTAAACAAAAAATAATTTTTATACAAAATTTTATTTATTAGATAAGAACATTTTTATAGTAATATTTTTTGAAATATGTTTTTATCAGTAGTGATTGGTTGGGTTTCTTGTGATGTTTTACGTCTTTTTCTTCTGAGTGGACATTTGACCGAATAGGCCGCATGATCGCCACTGCAGTTAGGGCATTTAGGTGATTGAGGGGTAGGACAAGATGAGGATTTGTGGTCTTGACCGCAAGTAGGGCACTTATACTGTTTTTCCTATACTCCGCAATGGTATGTCCGTTTGAACTGCACTGGGCGCAATACTTGGGTACAGGAGGGACAGGATTTGAATTAAAGGGAAGCTTGACGCTCATGAGGGGCCCGTCAAAGTATACGCCTCTAGTCAGCATCTCAGTGTATTTGAGGTCACTTGATTTGATTGCTTCGGGATTTGACGTAGGTTGCTTCGGGAGATTATCCGCCATAGTCTGACTACGGGGATACCTATTTGATTGAAAAGGAGGGTGAGGTCGGCATCAGAGTAGATTTTATCTACCACTTTGACGAGCACCATGAAGGCAGGATTGTTTGTACGGTTTGTGGTATTTTTTGGTGAGGCAGTGTGTTTAGCGGTGATTTGCACCCTAGGATCACCCAACGCATCACGGAGTGTCCGTTGGACGTCGACATGATTGATTGGATGGGGGGTGGTGAGGTGAGCGATTTGTGTAGGGAGTACTTTGACGGTGGTAATTTGGTTTAGAACGATTTCTCGGGTGTTAATGATTCTGAAGAAATCTCTTTGAGTAGACTTCTCTAGAGGGATATTAGTGTTTAGGTTGTGAATTAAAATGTTTAGGTTGTGAAGCGGGAGCAGGGATAGGGATGACAGGAGGGGGTTGAGGTCTAGGTGTGTGTATGACAGTTGCATAGGAAGGGTTTTGAAGTGAATATTGGTTATTAGTTTGTGAAGATGGTTGAATTTGGATGATATGGGTGGTGGATGTAGGTTGTTGTAAGGTAGCTTGGGTGGTAGTCGATAATGTAAAGGGATTAGGGGTGGAGGAACACCGGGACAGCTGCAGATGCGCTATCAACCGGTCGATTTGGTCGTCAGGAAGAGTGGACACTAGTTCTTTGACGAAGTAGTTAGTGGCAACATTCATCAGAGGAGCGGTGGTGGTTTCTGGAATATGGATGGTGGGTATATTGTGTGTAGGTGGTGCAGGTTGAATATATGAATCGTTAGGTGAACTAAGTAATGGTGATATTGGGTTTTGCGATGCTCGTTGGGTAGGTAAAGGTGGATAACGGTGGTAACGCTGTGAAGTCATTCTCTGTGTTGTTGGATGAATTTAAATTATTTGTTATATTAGGAGGAGGGTCAGGAGGTTCTACAGGACGCGTTTTATGTGACATGTTGAAGCGGGTCGATCGTGGCATTTCAACAGTGGAGGGCTAGGTTGTACCTAGATGACACCCGTTTATCACTACGCTGTGCAATGTAGTGATTGGCAGGTGGCCGGACTATACCAACTCTCTATTAGCTGTCGGTCCCACGTTGTGTGTTCACTATGGTTACGATAATGTTCTCTATAGTTATAAATAACTATTTTCTCTGTAGTTACCAATAACTGTAATTGGTATCTGCATGGAATTCTCCGTGTATATTAGTATCGCGTGACCAAGTGCAAAAACCAAACAAAATCAGCAGAGACAATCCTCAGTTAAAAGCTGACAGCCCCAGCAGCAGCGTACGTAGGTAGCCTTTTTAAAAAAGAAATTGTCGGACTAACCTGTTCGAGATTCAACACTATCCTCACACAACACTATTCTTCTTTCTTCCTTTGAAAAATCAATCACAACACAGCTATTAGGTCGGACTTAGTTGTTCTACCGCTTAAGCGGAAGCTGGAAGCCCCGGCCACAGCGTGCGTGGATGGCCTTTCTTACACAACCATCCACTATGCATTCACCGTGACCAACAGAATCTTCGAAAAATCAACAGGAGCACTTATCCGCACAAAATAAACCGCACTGCAATTGATAAACGCTGAAAAGCCGGCATGTTCATTTTTTCCGTTAATTCGTTTGTTTGCTTCCTTTGTTCGCTTATCTTATCTTCCAGACAGGTGGTCGCTCAAGCGGTTAGAACAATAGACAATGCCTATGGCTGTCTTTCTAACCCTGCGCTATAGGTGCGACGCACTGACCTAAAAACAAGAAACGTCCGACTATTACGAAAGCTCGAGTGATACTAACTTAACTCCAACTCCTTGGATGATTAGAAAATAATATAGGATTATGACGTTTATCAAATGTTGTGTATGAACACCTTTATGTAGCAATTGCATTTTTAATAGTTACTTATTTAATTGTTTAAAAAATGTATTCTATACAAAAATATAAATAACAACGTTTTGATTATTTTTTATGTTTTAGTGTTGATATACCCAATCGGATTTTGTATACAACTTCCATTACCCCATACTTAAGACTGGACGGTGATTATTCACTGAAGGGGAAAGTAATGCTTTTACCAATTTATGGTGAAGGCAAATGCAATATTACCCTTAGTAAGTAATTCATATTTCTACAAAGAACTGTATTATTTTATATTTTGTTTTTGTTTGCTTAAATCAACCAATTAAGAAAATTTGTTTAACGACATTTAATAAAAAGCTTGATTATTTATTCAAATGCGTTATGAAGAATTACAGATCTCTGGTAAACTATTGTATTAATTTGTTTACTTGATGCAATCAAAATAGATAATAAAATAATTAACATTCAAGTAAGCAGACAATTAGATGTTTCTCAATTAAAAGTTGACATGATTTTAAGAATTTACAGCTTTATCACATTCAAGAAGTCCAACAATTGTATCTAGGAGGTAACATTGTAATCTAGAACGCTTACAATTTGGTAGGTGGATTGCAAATATTGATTGTTTATTGCGTCTTCTTCTTCTTTTTCAGTTTTTTTCTATTCAGGAGTCGTTGTTCCTTACTTTTCGTCGCCACTCGTCGGGTCTTCTTTACCTAAACCTTTCTCTTTCAAGTCCTCTGCCACATAGTCGTTCCATCTTGTCCTCGGTTTTCCCCTACCTCTTATTCCATTAACTTCTAACAGCTCTATTCTTCGTCCTACATAGTTTTTATCTCTACGTCTGATATGATCAAAACATTGCATTAATAGTTTATTGTGCAGGACTCTATTTTACAAGGCATTAAATAAATAACTCGTACAGTCCACACAATTAAGAAGACGAAAATTTCCATGATCATCATCATCAGTGGTGCTACAGCTCTAGTTGAGCCTTGACCTTCCCCAGTCTATTTCGCCAGTCGTTTCTGTTCATCGCCAACCGTTGCCAATTTGCCGCGCCGATTTTCCTTGCGTCCTCGTCCACAACGTCCCTCCTTCTCAGTCGTGGTCTGCCTCTACTCCTATTTCCCACTGGGACTGATAGTAGAGTTCGTCTGGGTGGGTAATTTTCATTTGCTCTTGACACATGTCCAGCCCATCTAAGCCTACCTATTTTTATGAAGGATATTACATCTCTACCATTTACTATTTTTTTATACTTCTCGTACAATTCGAAATTTTATCGCCTTCTCCAAATACCATTCTCACAGAATGCGCCCATTATTCTTCTTAGTATTTTCCTTTCGAAGACGAGCAGAAGATTTGCGTCTGTTTTGTAGATGGTTCATGTTTCTGACCCATATGTCAGCACTGGTAGAATGAGTGTTCGATATATTATTAGTTTGGTTTTCTGGCTTAAATTTCTGTTTTTTAGCTGCTTGCTTAGTCCAAAATAACATTTGTTTGCTAGCAGTACCCTCCGTTTAACTTCTTCAGATGTGTCATTATCGTTTGTTATGAGAGAACCCAAATATGTAAACTTATTTACTACCTCAAAATTATATTGGTCTATACTGAAGTTTTGTTCGGCGTTTCTAGCTCTATCTCTGTTATTTGGAATAGATGCTTACCTTTTGGTTTTTTCCTCGTTTATTTTAAGGCCCATATTTTGTGCGGCTGTCAAGAAGGTGGAAGTCATCTCTTTAAGTCCTCGTGTAGTACGTGCGATCAAATTCAGATCGTCAGCGTAAGCCATAATCTGCGTTGATTTATTAAAGATTGTTCCCCTATTGTGTAACTCGGCATCTCTTATAGTCTTTTCTAACGCTATTTTAAAGAGAAGGCACGCCAGCGCGTCTCCCTGCCGTAACCCTGCATATGTTTCAAACGCTTGTGACATATTGCCTTGTATTTGCACTCTGCAGATAACTTTACTCATAGTTGTTTTTACGAGCCTTATTAATTTATGGGGAATGTTAAGTTCATTCATGGCTTCGTATAATTTACCTCTTAGGACGCTATCATATGCTGACTTAAAGTCCACAAAGAGATGGAACGTGTCAATATTAAATTCATTGGTTTTTTCTAAGATTTGACGTAGCACAAAAATCTGGTCAATTGTTGACCAACCTGGCCTAAAACCGCTTTGATACTCACCAAGGATTTCTTCCACGTACGTACTTAAACGGCTGTACAGGGTGTTGGAGAATATTTTGTACATTGTATTCAGAAGAGTTATACCCCTATAATTTTTACATTCCAACAAATCTCCCTTTTTGTGCAGTGGACATATGATTCCAGTGCACCATTCCTCTGGCATTTGTTCTTCTTCCGAGACTTTGACTATTATGTTGTGAATTTGGTGCATAATGCTGTTACCTCCATGTTTGATGAGCTCTGCGGGGATACAATCCACTCCTGGGGACTTGTTATTTTTGAGTCGTGTGATTGCGTCTTTTACTTCAAATATTGAAGGAGGTTCTACGTGAGTGTTATTTCTTGGTCTTTGGGGTAACGCATCATTTTCGTCCAACGTCAAGCGATTTGCCAATCGCATAGAAATTTTCCAATGAAAATTTCCATGCGATTGGCAAATCTCACTTTCAGTTTTGGGTTTACTAGGTTTTGGTTTTGCTATTAAAAACTGTAGCTAAATAATATCAAGTCGTCAAGGTGTGTAAACATGCTCTCGTAATTTAAACCTGACATGGCCATAGTTATGGCTCTTGGAAAACATCTAGAGCTTGGAGTCGTCTCATTTGACCTCTCTCCATTGACAATGCAGTGTAGTGTCTTGAGCTAAAATTGATAACAAAAGAATATATTGATAATAGGTTGCCAGACTGTCTGGCAACCTTTTATCAGGTTGTCAGGTTGTGTTATTACGATGGCTGGCCCAGACAAGGTAATAAATAGGTAATTAAAATTAAAATAAAAACGTAGGTAATTCATTATTGAACAAACATTTTATTTCGTTTTTTTTTTATTTTTTAAATAAAATATGCTACTGATGACGTATATGCATGTTCTTTATATAAAATAAAGCTATTTTTTCTTAATATAGTGATGTATATGGTCGCAAATTAGGGTCAACAGCTGTTAAAAACGTGAGCTATCAAATAAAAGTAAAGTAGAGTTAAAGCGCAGTGACACTTCTTTAACAAGTAGTAATAATGTATACTATTATTATATATCTTTGGATATATGCTTTAAAAACTGACATAACTGATACTTTAAACCAGTAGTATTGCGCGCCAGCTGTCTTATTTTATATTTGATACGTCACATTTTTAATAGCTGGCAATCCTAATTTGCGACCATTTGCTCTGTGGCAACCTTATATCATCATATTAAGAAGAAATTAGCTTTAATTTGATCTAAAAAACGTGCACATAAGTCTTTAGCAACGTATTTTATTTAAAAAAATTTAAATACTAATTTAATTAAAAATATTTTCGGCCACTTTTTGAGTGGCAACCTATTTTCAATGTTTTCCCCCAATTTTAAATATATGTAAAACTATGAGTTTGATTAACTACGTTATGAATGTAGTGATCTGTCAGTTTAATCTTAGACTATAAGTGCTGTTTGCTAATATCCTCAATATAAATCTAAATGAGAAAAGTAGGTTGCTCGTGATAAAGCGTCCAGCATTTCTGCTATGCATCGTAGTGAAAATCTGTCGTTTTTTATTTTATTGTTAATTTCTTACAATCTATCACAACGATCCATTTTTTGTTTATATGGTCAATTATTTTATTGGTACGATAGTAGTGCTAAAGAAAATTCTGATACTGCATTTTTAATGTTTTTACCTTTCAAGATTCTGTCTCTTTGTCTATTAATTTCTGCTTTCTGTCCGTATGGGAGTCTGTACGGTTTTGTGTCAGCCGTTGATGCTCCTTTTTGCAAATTATTCTTTGCTTTGTACACATTACTTATGGTGCGTTGATAGTTTTCTAAGGTAAAAACATCTGTATATTTTGTACAATCTGGACGTCTCGTTAAGATGCAAAATGGTCTAAGTAACAGAAGTCAATTTTTTATTTTTTTTTACGTTTTATGTGATTAAAAAATAAGGCTTAGCGTATTTTGGCCCGTTGTCCCTCACCCCCCAAAACAATTTTTTTTAGGTGGGATTTAAATTGATTTAGGTTGTTTCGATCTCAAAAAATAGGATTAACTCCAATTAACCCCCAAATCACATAAAAACCCTAAAAACATGTTTTTTGGAGTTTTGAAGGTAATTTTGCCTATGTATGTGAATTTTGTGAATTTTTTAAATAATTGCATCATACGTAAAAAAATAAAAAACCAACGACTGACGTTTTTGGGGGGTTGGTTGGAGGGCTAAAATTGCACCAAGCCTAATTTTTTTAATCACATCGAACGTAAAATGAATGAAAAAATTTGAATTCTGGGAGTGATTGCATTGTGCAAAATTTCTAATTATTATTTCTTGTCATTTATATTTATAATTCTTTCAGGTAACATACCGTTAATCGATTTAGCGACTAGTCCTGCTGTAAGTACTCCTTCTCAAATTTTTTGTGGCATAATGCTGTACCTTCGTGTCTCTGTGCTTATACCAAAATAATGTATAGTTTTGCATCTTGGTGTCAAAATTGAGAACATGTGTCTCCCAATGTCCTCATAGGTACGCCTATTTTGGTTTCTTCTATACGTAACTATAATTTTAAACTCTTGTATTTTGTTTGATACTCTCGTAAATAGTTTGATAACAAGTCTGTTCCAAATTACTTGCCATAATAGCAAATTCGTGTCGCAATTTAATTTTTTTCAATTCATGTAATATTCCGAGGTCACTAAAACTACGCTAATCGATGCTCCAGAGTCTATTAATAGTTTCACGTGTTAACCTTTGTAGGTGATCCAAATGTAATTCAATCTGTTTTTTTAATTGATTAGCCTTTATTTGTGGGAGCATAAAAAAGTCAGCTTCGGTCATTGTATTTGTTTGCTGTTCATGTGTCGCGAAATTTGTTTTTGTTCCTGTGGTCTCTATGCTGTATCCACTGACTGTTTGTGCTGGAAACTGGTTGTGCTATGATATTGTTGTTTTCCCTTTTCATTAGATCTCCTCTATTTGTTGTTCCTATGTCTTTATCTTCTATCAGACTTTTTTGTATCCCTAACATGTATCTATTTTTTCTGCTTTATGTTTTTGTCCATATAAAATATACTCAAA